CATGTTCTAACTGCTTATCTGGGTCACGGTAATCATCCATCCATCCGTCTATCCATCCATGCATGTTCTAACTGCTTATCTGGGTCACGGTAATCATCCATCCATCCATCTATCCATCCATCCATGCATGTTCTAACTGCTTATCCGGGTCAGGGTAATAGGAAGGAGGAGGGGGGGTGCACCCAGGACCGGATGTCTGTCTAGTGTAGTGACATGTATCCACACATGCCAATTTAGAGATGCCAGTTAGGCTTAGTCTTTGGTCTGTGGAGGGAAACCGGAGTACCCAGAGGAAACCCACCTGACACAGAGTGGAGGCGGGATCTTAATGCCCAGTGCCACCGTGTCACCCAATGGTGGTGCTCGCCTTGGTCATTATGTCATTATGATAAACACACAATGGTGGTGCTCGCCTTGGTCATTATGTCATTATGATAAATCTGTGGCTGGAAGGGCACAGTGTGTGAGCTCTTTTTCTGGCACTGTGGCAGTGGGACACTGCTTTGATGAAGTGCTCAGCGCTGACTTAATACGCCACGTGATTATGCTCTCGGAGCGTGAGCGGCGGAGAGCGATTTGGCCCGCACTTCTGTCTGCCTGTCATCTAGCTTTTCATGACGGGAAGCCATCAACAGGACACCGGTTCCCCAGGATACTCAGACGGGAATCCAGAGTGGGATTTCAAGGCCACGCCCTTCAGAAACCGACTCGAGTGATGGAAAGCGGCTCTAGAGTTTCAGTTTCTCGTCTCTCGGTCTCGCAGGAAGGACGCGGCCGAGCAGAAGGTGAGGAACGGCCACCTGAACCCAGCCTTCCACCTGAAGCTTGTGGGGTCTTCAGGCAAGAACAACACCAAGAAGGTGAGCGCCGGACCGCCATCTCTGGTACCGGCATGGGATGGATGCAGAGACCTTATTCTGCAATCAGAGTGAATTTCTGTAAATACAAGCACTACAGGAGTCAAACCAAAGCGAAGAGATGATGAAAACATAAACATCAGTAGATCCTGTGAAGAAGCAGGAGTGCAAACCAGCGTCTGTTTGTCTTTATAGCTGTTTTTTTTTTTTTACTTTTTAGTTTAGTTGAAACTAGTCCACTAGCACTTTTCTAAAGGGTTTTAAAGCACAGCCCCTTCTTGGGACTCAAACCAAAGACCTTCAGGATATAAACCCCATGGACTTACCTACGCTTTCTGCACCATTGGCCATATCAACATCCTGAGATGTCTAAGAAAAAAAGTGCTTCTCTGCTTCTCAGTCACATGGTATAACTGACTTTTTTTCTTTTTGTCGCGTACCATTATATTCACTCCTACTCTGGCAGGCTGAGGACATTGTTTTTTGTCCCTCAGATAAACACTTAGGAGCTTATGATACAGAACAGTCATTAAACAAGCCCCCTTCCTTCCTTTGTATATTTTGCCCATGGATCCCTTTTCACAACCTCCTTATTAATTCCTGTGTTTTTTCCCCTCACACAAAGATTCCGGACTGATGTCTTGTCAGTTCCGCTATTGGCTAATTTAAAATCAGTTGTTCCGAATCAGTAGAAGGAGATAAGAAGGACAGGGAAGGCAGTCACATCAACCGTGCTGCCACCCACGGCCGGAAGTGATTAAGTCGCATTGAAACGGCCAGCCAGGTGAAATCGCATTTCGAGTTTTTTAAAATTTTTTTTATTAGTTTACATTTGGGCCGAAACATAAATTACTTGCAGAAGTAATTTACATTTTAACTCGGTGTCAAGAGATAGAAAAGAAGATAATGGAAGCCTCAAAAAGATCCCTATGCTTATTCATCATAAATTTTCAATCTTTTTTCTTCCTGATCAGCACAGTACAGATAAAAGCTGTTGTGAGATTTTAGGGCGAAGTACACAGATGTTTAGTTGGGTCTGCAGAGAGACTCTCCTGTCTCTGAGGAGACCCGTGTGTCTCTTTGAGGCATGCTCTCTGAAGACCACTGGATGAGCATGGCTGGTCTAGTTAATGAAAACTTCAGCAAGATGGACTATGTCGAGTCCTGTTCTCTTTTTTACCCTCTGAAGTACATTTGGGAAACATTCATTGCAGGAAATATGAGCTGTGCGTGTTTCCAGCGCTACAGCAGAAATGACTTAAAGTGGTGAAGACTGTATTTTTCTGAGAGTGCAGCTGAAAGGGGGACTTACTATGCAAGCCAGCAGGCTGAGAAAGTGCTTCTGACCGGAAACACATCATACATCCGTACAAGACAGAAAAAAGGCAGTAAGCTTTTATACTCCCCGTTTTATGTGATATAAAACATAAACATCCATCCATTCTCTGCCTGCTTCTTCTGTTCAGGAACATGGATCGATCTATCATCCAACCATCCATCCATCTAATGTTATTGTCAAACACTCTCTCCTTCTCATTCCCCATGTACCACCCCCCCCCCCCCCCCCCCCCCCCCCCCCCCCCCACAGCTCCCCCACACCAGCAAAGAGGTCCTTCCACTCAGGCCACCCCCTGTTCCCAACGGCAACCAGCCCATCAACATCGTCCGCCCTCTACGCCCCGCGCCGTCCCCACGGGTCCAGCGGGAGCCCCAGAGTCCCCGCCCCGCCATCCCAGTGGCCAAGCCCCCAGCTGCTCCCGCCAGATCTCCAGAGGTCGCGCAGAAGCTAAGCCCGCCCCGGAAGCCCCTCCCAGTGATCCCATCTCGCGCCCCATTGGTGAGCAACTCTGCACTTCCTGTCTGCAGTCCGCGGGCCGGGGTTCAGGACTTTCAGAGGCGTTTTGTTAGCAAACAGCCTTTTCAGGGATTAAAGGGAAGATTAAATTCCTGTCAGTCTCTGTTTAGTTTGCTTTTATATGCATTTAGTTCTTAAATAATTAAAAATACTGCTATAGAATGCCTTTGAGTTTTAAATCTGGATCAATGGGTATTCCACTAGTCATTACAGCTCAGTAACATGTTGGCCATCATCATCAGCATTTCTCTGTGGTGCTATAAGTGTCAAAATAAGCCAGCTCGGTGTAAAGATGGCTGCTCTGGCAGTCTGTTACGCTGATGCGATGGCTGGGTCCCGTCCCTCGCAGTTGGTGTCGGGGTTGCGGCCCATTCCATCGCCGTCGCCGCCCCAGAGGCCACTGCCGCTCAACCCCAGCCGAGGAGTGTGCCCCAAGCCTTCGGGCGAGTTGCTGGTGATGATGCCCCCAACCGTGGGGACCAAACAGGTGGGCACGGTGTCAGCCATGCCCCCCTTCAAGGCGCTCAGGTGAGTCTGCAGGCCGCGGACATCTTCAGGTGGAACTCCACCCAGATTGGGCAACTTCTTAACAACTGCTCTGGGTGTTAGGCCTCGGTGCCTTCGAACAGAAGGTCACCAGTTTGAGTCCCACTCTTTGTAGAATAGTCAAATAAATACCTGTCACACCCTTGAGCGCCCTATGCTCAGTCCCCAAGCGTCTCAACCGTGTGTACACTTCAAAGGGGAATATGTTGCAATATTATAATAATGACACTTTATCGATCCCCTACCCAATCTTGCTCTCCATGACACACATATAAGTGACAGCGAGCTTGGCAGTGAAGGGATACTGCACCCATTGAGCTGGGGGGTTAAGGGCCGTGGTCATATGACTATTCTGCCAAGGCTGGCCTCGAACCAGTGACCTTCCCATCACAGACACAGAGGCTTAGCCTGCAGAGCCACACGCTGTGAAAATAAGCATTCTAATATACTTATGCAAATGGAAAATAACAAGCATCGTCTCATCTGCTATTGGCACCATACAGGGAACATCAGGTATCACTCACAGCCTATAGAAGCCAAAGCAGCATTTTAACCAATTAAAGTTTCGACTTCAAAGTGCTACGGTTGATAGAATGTGGGATATTTTCCTGAATGATGGTACAAATTATGTAAAGTTATTATAGAACAAATGCATTTTCTAAGCTGATGCACAGTGCCTGTAAAATGACCGAAACGCAAAACGACATTAATGTAATGTTTGTTAATCAGCCACATTCTGTATTAGGTGACAGTTGTCACGAAATAGTAATCCTTATCACTCAAAGGATTTTTATATTGAATTGAAGGAAAAATGTGTTCAATTTATTTTTTAATTGCGATAAACAGGTGCAAGCACTTTACAGCACTTAATTCAGCAGTTACATAACATGAAAGTGTCAAAATAGATTTGTAATGCATTTACACACATGCCTTATAGAAACATTTTATTTCTTTCTTTCATTGCATTTTGTCTTCTTGTCTGTGTTTCAGACCCGTTCCCCCGTTTAAGTAAGTACCTGATTTTCTGTGTTTTCTTTAATAAGAGACTTGCTCCAAAGCTGCCCCAAGATCAAGGATTAAGTAAAAGAAAAGATCAGAAAGGCATACGCACGTCTTGATTTATGTGCAAAGGAAACCGCCAACCTTAAGCTAGCCAGGGCTGCCTAATTGTCATCCGATAAACTTCAGAGTGTCACAAGCACCAAACTCCACAGCATGGAGCTCAAATCTCTGGCTTTCCTGCTCTCCAGAAATCAATTTGCGGGACCTGTTTCCCCTTGACATGGAACAGCGTCAAAAAACCAAAAACGTCCTTGATGTTGTGCGATCTTAACAATGTTTACAAAGCCTGGCCTTTGGTGGTCAGAGCAGAAAGTGGGTAGCCCTCCGGTCTGTGCCGAGACAAGCCCCATGTAGCCTGCAATGCCAGGAGAGAGACCCAGGAGAGTCGGAAAGTCTGCAGATAACAAGGTCATTGCAGTCATCGCCCTCTGTCTGATTCTCCTTTACCAGGCCTGCTCCCGGTGTGAAGCCAAGTGTACCCTCATCCCCCTTCCGGAAATGACCCGTGGAAGACAGCACAACCAGATGGACTGCAGTCAGCCTATTTGCACTATAAAGCCCATATAGGGCCAGCGCCAGGGGGCAGTGTGGGACAGTGGTTTTTACATGGCAAGGCACGCCGAAGGACTAAATGCGTCCCCTCCTAGGTGTCTCGTGGCGATGAAGGAGCCCAATTTGCGAAACGACGCGGTTCTGCAAGGAGGAAATTGCAGACTGAGATACAGGCGGATGGACTGGGATTTCATTGGCGCCGGTCACGTTTATATCTGATTTCCCGACTAATCCAAGCGCCACATACATTTCTTTAGCATCATCTTGTCTGTTTTATAACGTATATGTAAGGTGCCAAAGAGTTGGGTCTTGTTTGTTCTGTTTACTCATAATGTTGCTGTACAATGTTTTTATGGTTCATTACGGCTTCAGTGCTTAATTTACGTTTTATCCTGACGAAACTCATCCACGCAGAGAACGTTTAGTGTCGCAAGCGATACTTCTGGGATAATTCATTGTCTTTTTACTTTTTAACGCCTTTGTCATTCGATGTTTACCGAATTGTTCTCCGTTACTTTAAGCGGACTAGAAAAATGCCTTGCGTCCATCAGAAGATGTGTATGTAGGCGATCTTGAGTCTGATCGATCAAGCTAGTGCACGGTATTAACAGCTTATGCTGGGAATAATCACGTCAAATAATCCTTTACTATTAATATTGATTAGGCTGGCAGGCAGCATCGTTTGAGTATCTCTACCTCAGTGCACAAGCTTCCGGCCTAGACCTTCTGCTGTAACGAAAGGTGCCGTCTACACGTAGTGTCGGGGTTGAGGTCTTGGCTGATTTCCCTCGCATCTTCAATTGCCACCGTTGTTTATTTTCCCATAACGTGATTTTTTTGTCCTAAGACTAATTACAGCCAAGAATGAAATGTCTGCTCTTCAGAGAGGTGTCTGGCATAATAATAATAATAATAATAATAATAATAGTAATAATAATAATAGGCCTAATAGTTACATGACAAGAATCCGTTGGAAATTTGACTTGTTCATATTCTTCGTTGAGGTTACGGGAAAATAGCTCCAAATATATCCTTTATATACGATGGCAGAGATTTGAGACCTGCGTTCTCTATGCCCCCCACCCAAACTGTCTCCATGTGCTAACCGTCCATCGACCGACATCCAACGACGTCCAAATCGTTTACTCTGGATCCTCATGCAAGGCATTCTTCTACGCTGCGTCGCTCATTTTACCGAACTCATAGGCTGCCACATTATGTTGTTAAAGTCAGGAATTATTTCGCTGTTCCCACCGAGATGAAGAAACCTCTTGCAGCTGGAAGGCGAAGGAGCTCTCAGATTGGCAAGATCTTTCCCGATGTGTCGTATTTTAACCAGCCAGAGAGGCGTTCTCCAAAGACGCTGAAAACACTGGTACGAGTAATAAATAATGGACAAAGAAATAAACTTTCACTTAAAAACGCCTCGGAATATTCAGATGTTATAACTACTTGTGTGATGAGAAAAACATTTAAAGCAAGTTTTGCTCCGTAAGAGTCCATCGATCCATCCATTGTTAATCCAGTGCTAAGACACACAAATGCCTGAATGGGGCGCGAATAATGCAAGACAATAATGACCTCTAATGGACATCGGTTGTAATTAAGATGTGATTAATATTTCCCTGACCCTGAAAATCATAAAGGATGTGCCCTTCTAGAGGCGTTTCTGATGCCCCTGCTTTCAGGGCAGAATTGGACACTTACACCTGACATTTTTACTGTTTATGAATGTTCAATGTCAAAAGTATGATACTGGGAGAATAGACTCGTCGTCTCTGAATACATTAATTTTTAAGCGAATTTTTCATTAACCCCGATACAATACCAAGTAACAAATTAGACTATCATTGCAAGGTCCTTGGGGAGAGCTGTCTAACAGTACTTACTACCTGCCAGCATTATAGAGTCACACTGCCTGATACGTAAGTGTTCAAATACGCGCAAGTGACTTCAATCCTGCTGTTGGGCGTCTGCTCCGTAATGGGTTTTCGCCTGTTGTAAATGGGGTATTTGCACCCAGCGCACTTATCTTGCGGTGGGGGGTAATATGCTGGGAGCGTCCAGGCCGCAGTGAGCGCATCACGCTGCGGTGAGGGATGGACTCAGGGTGCAAATTTATCACTCCGGACATATTCTGGTCCATTACCACAGCGCCAAAAATAAAAATACTCCGAGGCGAAATGTCACACTGACTGGGCACTGTCGCTAAGAAGGGAGCCGGAGCCGGTTATTAATGCTTTCGCGTTAATTTCCAGCTTTCCACTGTCCCGCTCGGTGACGTAACGCTTCTCCTGCGCTGCCCGCGTGGGCCGCGGCCAAGCAGAGACGCGCTTCGGACGGCCGCAGATCCCCCACTGCGGCCGAACTGGGCTGAACTGGGGCCGATCGGACTGTGAAGCACCGTGGCATCTCCTGCTTCCTCCACCTTAAGTGCTACAATTACGTTTGACGAGTGCAGGTGATTAAATCACATGCCGTGCGTGAGTCGCGCTTTAGGCAGAAAGATTTGCGGTTCTCTGTGAGTTTGTATTGATTTCTGAATAGCACTGGCAGCTTGACTGTTGTACAACACTGACATAAAAAAAAACCTGAAAAATCATCGTTTTTGTGTATGTGATGTATGGCTCTTGACACCGGACATTACAAGGGTAGCAAAATTTTATGGAATATATTGTATTTTTCTTCCAGCATAAATAATATAATTTGTAGTATTACACAGTTGATTGCGCTTCTGTTCAAAATTAGCGAAAACTGTAGCTATAAGAAACACAGGATAAACTTACCAAACAAGGAAGCTTTAAAACAAAATAAAAAGCTTCCACAGGGGAAAAAAAAACATACGGAATACTGATAAGCTTTTTTTCTTAAGGAAATTTAATATTTCAGACATGCGGCGGTGGGGTTTGTAATGAAAACCGGATGCCTGTTATTTTCACCAACGCATTATTATGATTATGTGCAGTTTTGTTCATTTGTTTGGCTGAGTACCGACCTCACAGAAATATTTGCTTTAATCATAGTCATTAAAGGAAAGGTAGGCCAGGCAGCTGAAATATGCAGGCCCCTTTTAAAACTGCAGAGCAGAACGGAAGAGAGCAGCGGCCTTATGCAATCCTAAATTAACACAACCGAATAGTATTACTGCATTTAATTAATTTCACCGTCAATGGTGAGCGGATTTAACACAACCAAGTCCAGGTGAGTCCTGTTTGCAGGGAGTTAAAAATGAAAATTTTCACAAAAACATGGACTTAAAGACAGATATCCTATACTGCATACAATGCAAATTAAGACGATACATACTAACCATACTCTGCATGTAACATATCTTACGTCTGACATATATTACAGACAACCCACCTATGGCGTATTGACTTCAGATAAGAGTCAACTGGGAGGGGCTAGCTGGCTCAGCTTGGGGAGTATTACGGTAATACCCTGTACTACGATATTTATGGTATTTTGGGTATAGCGCGGTATTTTCGTTCGAAAATACACCAATCATCAACTTTCATCGAGAAATATTGGAATAGCGTTGCGTTTCAAAATACCATCGAAATACCAAATACAGCTGTATAATGTCCAGATAAGACGGTTTTAAAAGTATACATACCGCCCAAGTTTAGTGGTGGTTCAACGATGGGTGCTGAGGTGCCTGCGGTAAAATTTGACCAAGAACAGAGGGTGAAGGTAAAATTTGTTGATGGGTTGAACAGAATTGTGGGGCAAAATTTGTTGGTGTCAAGGAGCTACTATCAATTCCCAAGGTGAATTTTCCGTTTTTCAGTGGTTCGGGGAAACTCATTAATATTCAGGAGAAGCGCTACCTCATTGGCATAGTTCACCGGCCAATCAAGTAGCTTTTCTTTTGAATATTAATGAGTTTCCCCGAATAACCCTGAAAAAACAGGTAGCACATGTTGACTGGAGCACGTTCACCGGCCAATCTTCTCTCATGAATGTAAATGAGATTTTTCAAATCAACCTGTAAAACAAAATTCGCTCCCGAGACGATCGCGGTGCTTCCTAGAAGGTGGGACGCCTAGAATTACGCTCAGCAAACCACAATGAATGATAGTAGAAACTAGCTATTGTGGCAGAAACTATTTATAGATCCGTATGCAGTATTTAATGCAGCATAAAATATTTGGGCAGGGAACGCGCTTACCTGAATCTACACACACACTAATCTGGGGCCTGGGGCACAATTGCTTTTCTGCGTGTTGATCACTAATCAGACACTTGATTGAAAGTGTCTTGTGGAGATTGGTATAATTTTCAAGCAAACCGAAAAAGCAGTAGGCTGTGCATTTGGGGGAGAAACACCCCGGGGAGACAAGGGAAGCCGCTTTCACAAGCAATATATTTGACTTTATTTTAAAGCCCTTTAAAATATAGTGTTTTCACAAAAGGTATGTGGAGGTTAGGGTTGAGTATAAGGAAATACGACGGACTTCCTAACAAGAGTGATTACATTTTCAGAATGATATACGAATATATCGGATGAGAAAAAAAACTAATGGAGTCAAATGAAGTAGCTAACATGCGATCTAGACCATAAAATTAGGTAGCTGTCCTTTCAGTCGTGCATACAGGCATGATAATTATGCTAAGGCCGTGTACGGTGTCCGCCTTTACATGCCCTCTGCAGTAACCCCGCCTGGACGCCATGAAGTGGGTAACCCAGAGCCAGGCCAGTCGGCTTCTGCATAACAAGTTTGTTGTGGTGCTTGGGGACTCCAGTAAGTATGATGGCTGTGGATGGATGTCTCTGAGGGGGAAATATCAGTTTAAATCGGAGGGCGTCTCGGGTGCAGATGCGGCGCATTTTTGATGGAGCACGGAACTTGCTTTTTGCATATCACACTGTATTAGCAATAGCGGGCAAGGGAGCCTCGTCGCCCACTTGCAGATGGTGATCAGATCTGATGCTGACTAGCTGACCTACGGTCTTTCTTTCCCATTCCCCACTCCCTGATTTCCAGTCCAGCGCTCCGTTTACAAGGACCTGGTCCTGCTTTTGCAGAGGGATGCCTTCTTATCCCAGTCTCAGCTCAGGAATAAGGTGAAGGAGAATAAAACAAAAACACGTCCTGTCATCAAAAGCTTTATGCGGAGAAATCGGCTAAATGAATTAACGATGGGCTGATCAGTCGTCTTGCAGTTTCTGGTCACCTCTGTCCCTCCTTAACTCTTCCATGTCTTCCCTTGCTGGTCTCCCAGGGGGAGATGAGTTTTGAACAGGATGCCCTGGTGGAGGGTGGTCAGCTGGACACGATGCACAATGGCACAGGGTACCGGGAGGTGCGACAGTACCGCTCGGACCACCACCTGCTGCGTTTCTACTTCATCACGCGCATTTACTCCTGTTACATGGAGAGCATCCTGGCCGACTTGGACAGCCGCCTCAAACCGGACGTACTCATACTCAACTCCTGCTTGTGGGATGTGTCCAGGTAACACTTCCAGTTAAATGTGGGTCAAAGACGATCCGTACATCCATGTATAATATGATGTTACCATTTAGCAGGTCAGACCTGGCTTTTGGGAGTCAGGCTGAATCACCACCCAACTATTAAGGGTTTGGCTCAAAGTTATGGGTGTCAGTAGGGCTGGTCTAGGGGGCTCTAGCCCCCACCAAATTAATGTACACTAATTAGTTTTAAAAGTGTGTTCTCATTAATTTTCATTAAAATCAGAACAACCACCCCCCCCTTCCCGATTTCATAAATCTTTAGAGACGTCCCTGCAAAGACCTGACGCTTCTGCTGAAAGCCTGTGATTAAGAAATGTTATTATAATTAATTTATGATCGGATAAGATTCTTCGGATTTTCCGAGTGCTTGCAGTTTCTTGGTGTTCCTTGAGTATAATTTGCCAGCGGTGACCAGGTTTGAGAGCGAATGGGAACATTTGTTACATCACACCGATGGGCAGTTTTTCCAGGTTTGAGAGCGAATGGGAACATTTGTTACATCACACCGATGGGCAGTTTTTCCAGGTTTGAGAGCGAATGGGAACATTTGTTACATCACACCGATGGGCAGTTTTTCCAGGTTTGAGAGCGAATGGGAACATTTGTTACATCACACTGATGGGCAGTTTTTCGTCATGGTTGCTGTTAGCTATTTGGCCCTTTATGCTGCGCTGTTTATACGAGAACCTCCTGTAATTTGTCAATGTACAGTATTGTACAAAAGTCTTAGGCAAAAAATGTTTAGATGATTTGCATTGTTTGGGTAAAATCTATAATATGTCTATCAAAGTGTGTCAGCTTGTCCATTTCTAAGCCTCACAATGTACACCCATGTTTTTTTTGACTTGACCACTACCTCACCTTGTTTAGCTAATCAACACCTCATTGAGTTAAACATATTAAGTTTGTTTATTAATTGAGCTGGTGGAGAAAGTTAACTAAGACCCCTAAGGTAGAACTTTGAGAATCAAAGAGGTGTTCATCTAGCCGTCCAGCAAGATATCAGTGACTTTTGGAGAACAGAAGAAATTCTTGTTAGTTTTTAATGTTAATTTGCCTATGTTGTAATGTTAAATTAGTTTTTTTTTCTTCTGAGTAAATATACCAACCAGATAAATATCTTTAAAGATTTTGCATAGTATTGTAAATGTATCTGAAGAAATCCAGGTTTGCTAAGGCTACACACACAGCCTGTGCTGTGAACGGATGCTGCAGTTGCACTGCGTTGGACGTAGTTTCGCGGTTTGTTAATGCCAATGCAAGTCTGAGCATGAAAACCAGCCGTTCTTGGAATATTGCCGACGTGCCCTGTGTGCCAGTCTTTATGCTGGGTTCGGCGTGTGCCAGACATACTTGAGCGCTGGGTTCTGTTCTCCATTTAATAAAAAGTCTGCTTGTTCAGTTCCAGTATCTGATCCACTAGCATCAGTTTAGATTATGGATTTATCTTGTCGTCTGTATGAATAAAACATTGTTTTTTAAGCAAATCTTTTTTATTCCCCGTTTATTACGAAAGGGATCTGTCTTAGTAGAGCTTTGGATATTAAATGCATCTGCATTTATAGCCTTCAGCGCCTTGGATTTGGACGACGGTGTTGGCTTTATTTGCTTGCCGAGTGGGGTTAATGAGAGTTTGATCCTCTGTTGAGCTTTCCCGACCGGAATGCCTGTGTTTCTAAACGGGAATGAGTGCTTCTCCGGCCAGCTGAACACTAAGGTTCATTTAAGATCAGCTCGCCACATCTCAGATGGAAACGTTTTAACAGACGGGCGTTTCGAACACTGCTGATCTGGCTCTGCCTCTGGCTCCCCAATAACTGGGTCTCTGACCGTGGCAGCGACTTCTCCATACCTGTGGAATTTATGTGTAGTGATGAGACAACACTGCTGGGAGTGATTCTATAGCAGACCACACTGCTGGGAGTGATTCTATAGCAGACCACACTGCTGGGAGTGATTCTATAGCAGACCACACTGCTGGGAGTGATTCT